ACACTCCGATAAACATTTTACCTTTTCCGATATTGAGGGATTATTAGATTTTTCAACAAAAAAAATCACAAAAAGCAGCTTTTTGTCATAAAATAGTGAAATATATCAAGAAAAAAATCCTTCATAGAGTTATTGGATATAAAAACAGATAATTATTGTAACAATTACCAATTACATACGAATTTAAAAAAAAAAACATTCCACAATATTTCACTTTATTTTTTCATTTCATACATCCTTAATTGTGGTGATGCAAATCAGGTGTTGAAGATCATAAAAAAAAATAGAGTGTGTTATCTCCTATGAACTATCACAAGTTTTGCATTAACTTTCATGAAACCTATATTCACTGTAGCAATATAATAAGGAAAAAAATAAAAAATATAAAAATATCCAAATGAGCATTGTACTTTTGTTCTAATTTCAGATTATGCATTTTAAAAGTCTTCAGTTCTGAATTTTTTCAATTAAATAGGTCTGTGCTTGCCAAAAATTTTTCGCTTGTCATAATATTGCAATTTAGTGAATATTATTTAGTCTCCACCAAATGAGAATGCCCACAAAATGTTGACAATTGTCGAGAACTCTGCTTGGATATAGTCGACAATTGTCGAGAACTCGGCTTTGATGTAGTCGACAATTGTCGAGAACTCGGCTTTGACGTAGTCGAAAATTGTCGAGAACTCTGCTTGGACATAGTCGACAATTGTCGAGAACTCTGCTTGGACATAGTCGACAATTGTCAAGAACTCGGCTTTGACGTAGTCGACAATTGTCGAGAACTCTGCTTGGATATAGTCGACAATTGTCGATAAATCTGCTTGGACATAGTCGACAATTGTCGAGAACTTGGCTTTGACGTAGTCGACAATTGTCGAGAACTCGGCTTTGATGTAGTCGACAATTGTCGAGAACTCTGCTTGGATATAGTCCACAATTGTCGAGAACTCTGCTTTGACGTAGTCGACAATTGTCGAGAACTCTGCTTGGATATAGTCCACAATTGTCGAGAACTCGGCTTGGATATAGTCGACAATTGTCGAGAAATCTGCTTGGATATAGTCGACAATTGTCGAGAACTCGGCTTTGACGTAGATAGCTGACAATTGTCTGCTTGGATATAGTCGACAATTGTTGAGAACTCGGCTTTGACGTAGATAGCTGACAATTGTCGACAAATGGGGCTGGCTTCAAAATAGTTGACAATTGTCGACTAATATGAGTGTTGTCAAATCAGCGTGGCCACAACATGCTGACAACACTGTCAATCTGTCAGACTGGATAGGCAGCAACCAACATAAACTTTAAACTGAAACATATATGAAAACAAAATCATGACTTCACAAAATCTAAAGTTAGATGTTTTATTTAAAAACGATGCTTTCAATGAAATAACAAGCAGCCTGTCTTATAATTAAAGATATCACGAAATGAACTAATCTGAGAGAGGTCCACATGTAGTACCTATATACGTAATATCAAAGAAATCGGACTTGCGTTTTTTAACAAGAAGTCGAAAATATCACTTTTTATCAAAAATGACAAAAATATTCATCAAAATTAGAGAATTGAAGATGTCATCAGAAAATGAACAATATATACAGTATTCAAGCAATCAGACTTGCTGTTTTCAACAAGAATTCAAAACATTCAGCCTTGTAGTTTTTAAGAAGAAGTCGAAAAAGTAAAAAATTTACATTGACAACAGAGCTAAAAATACAATGTGGTAATGGTTTGTTAGTCGTCCAAGTCCATGTCCATGTCTTCATCCTCACCAATTATGATAGAGTCACACTTGACAATTGAGTGCTCAACTTGTCTTCTGTCGGTATCGAATCCAATGCAGTTTCTGCCACAAGCCATGGCAGCAACAATGGCTGTACCTACAAGGTGGTGATAAAAGAAAAGCTGTATCAGCATACAGAAAAGTGCATGGAGAGGAAAGGAGGAGAAAGATGAAATCTCAGCTGCCCGAAAATTATTTTGAACCTCTCCATCACAATCTTAAGCAAAAACTGAAGACATTTAAAAACTCAAGACAATAAACAATGCATAACAACTCAACTGACACCTCCCAAGAATAGTTTTAGCCAACTTAATCTGATAGACAAACATGAAAGTACACCAAAATCACTGACAGTTTCTCCTACAAGTTTTCACTTCATCAGAATGAAGTTGATTGGTTTAAATATTCTAACTCTCCCCCTACAAAACATACTGATCGAGTCCTTAGTTTATTACCCCGGTATAAAGCTCCTAAAATAAGTTGCTGATGGGGAAAAAATGACATTTATTAGCCCAATTCTAAACTGCACAAAACCTTCTCACCCACTAACTACTCATATAAGATGTGAATTTAAGAGGTTTCTGGATTATGACTCTTCTCTTCTACAAATCATACAGGGTGATCTCTTAATTAAATGTGTTTTCACACAAAAGCCTTATAAATTGTGATACAATAGACAGTAATGACCCACGTACCAAACTTATCACCCCAATCCTGAAATACACATAGCAGCATGCATACTCGCTGCAAAAACCACTGGTCCATTGCTAATCCCCATGCATTTGAATTTGGGTGAACAAAGCCAAACGTTTTCCTTTTTTTCCTTAATGACAGCCACTTAAAACAAAAATAGTTTATCCTAAGTTCTTTATACAACTTTTTGAAGAAATCCCCAACTAGAATAATCTATAAGCTACTCACCAGTGCCACAACATGCGTCAAGAACCCACTGATTTGGGTATGAAAATTTGTCTAATAGGGTCTTGAAAAACTGTACATGTTTTTGTTGACTATTAACTATGACACCATCTCCATCCTTGTCAAGAACTGGTTTTTGAGTTCTCCAGAAATTGTGTCTGCTGATAGGTGAATCTTCTTTTATGTTTAATACGTTTCTTTTTACTTTGCCATCACTGGCCCAATACCCTATAACCACAGGTTGGATGGCATTTGTTAATGTAGCAGTATCTAAGGAGAAATACAAAGTTTACTGACCAATGAGTATTATCATCTGAACAAAATCTTGCAAGCAATTTAAAAAGTTACCAATAATTTTTAATCAAAGTATTCTAGTATAATAATGGTTTGTCATTTACCAGAAAACTAAATTAACAATGCTTCCATAATGTGATTCTTGAAACATTTAACCAGAATATTCATATTGATAATTCCATGCATTAACACAACATTTATACCTATGCCTAGCAATGATTATGATTAATAGATTTTAGGTGAATTCAGCAATATGAGCAAATACCAAGTAGGACCAGTACAGCACATAAAAACATTATTTAAACTAGTTGTCATAGTTGTTGACAGGGAGCTGAAAAAACATTTTGTGAGAGTTTTTATGAAACAAAAATACCAACAACTAAATCCTAAAAAAGCAGGCTAGGCCCATGCATACTATATGTGATAGCACTCTGTGCTTCTAATAGAGGGAATTGGTAATGGTTTTTGAAAAGTCAAAAATAACAATAATAATTTAAAATAGAAAATTGAAAATACATTAATCCTATTAAATCAGCCAAGTGAAGAGAGCACCACCCCACGTATCTAACACAGTCAAAAAAAATTCACCACAAATTATTTCAGATTGGTTCTTATGAAACTATCCCTGGTTCTTAAAATATACATGGAATAAATGAATTTTTTCTAAAAGTTATAAATGTGCAAATTACTAGTAGTATGCATGGATTTGTCACAACAAATAACAGTGGTGTGGACCACTTCAGAGCATCTGTGTGTCGAATATCATTGAAACCCTACCAGGATTTCTCCAAATATATAAAGTATGTTGAAATACTGCAGCTGATTAATATGAAAAATAGTTAACCAGCATATTCAGAATGACAAAAAATCTTGTCAGGTCGTGCACGTCTACAATAGTATATTCCCAATTGGCATGACACGTTTATACAGACATCACTACAACATCAGCTCCCTTTTTGTCAATTATAGGACAACAGGAGCTAAAAAATATTATACGAAAAACATTTTAAAGTTTTTTTATGTACACATTACATCAGAGGACCACTGAATTTGATAGTAATCCAGCCAACAGTTTCTAACAAGAAGTCAAAAATATTGTTTTCCACCTTTTTTATCCAATTTTCTAAGGATATCAGGATTTCTGGCGGGTTTCGGTGTTTGGGGAAATGTTGTGGGTTTGGGAGGGACCTCAATTTCATGACATTCTGGGGGTGATTTTTATTTTGGGGGGGGTGCAGAGTGCAGAATTACCCCCCCCCCCCCCCCCAAGACCAGCATGAAACCTTGGATTTTTTTTTCATATAAACAAATTCCCATCAGCAACTTATGTCACTGTTGTCCAAATCCAGTGTTGCACGTTTGGAGAGTGGCTATTTTCTCACCTGACGATGCATCTTCTATGTAGGTGTAGGCTACATCAATTTTGGCATAGCCAGCAGATTTTAGCTGTTCTTTCACCACATGTATAGTATCAACTTCGCAGATAACAATCATGGTATAATTTGACACACGGGCTGTCACATTCACATTTTTCACTGTCACAAAGAATGATTTTATTTCTTTACCTCGCCAATCCTGCAATTTAAAAAGAATAAAATATGTGTTGACATTACAAGATGGTGGTGACGGTAGAAGGCAGAAATCTGGAAATTCCAGTAATATTATCAATGGCAAATAATTACTATGTACAAAATGGTTGTCAAAAAAATGGACTAATTTATCAAATATTTTGGAAATTACATTACAATGAAAAGGTGATGCATCAATTTAATAATACAAACAATTTTTTGTAAAAGATTTCATTCATTGAATCTCCTAACCATCCAGTACTACATTTTATTTATTTAAGATCAAACCTGGATGAACCTGTTTACACCCCATCCCTTTCTGCATAAACATTTCAATTTAACTATCTACAATAATATTACACTATTTTCATCAAATTGTTTTGCAGAAACAAGAAAGGGTTAACGAGTAAATGATGCAAAACAATTTTTTATCTGAATTTAATTGGGAATTACATTTTTCCTATAGGCTGGCTTACCTGTGGGGTGTCTAAAATCACAAGATCCACACCAGTGAGATGACCAGTAATTTTTTTCAATTGTTCTGGGTCTAATTCCATGGAACTTCCTTCTACGACAAATGATCTAGTCTTGTTCTTCCCATGAAAAACTGCATTTGTTTCGCCCTGGTTTACTGGTGAATTTTCAATTCTCAGCCTTTGACAATAATTAACAAAGACATCTGGTATTGTTGGGCGAAATGAAAGGGAAGAAAATCTCACTAAATTTTCTCTTGTTGTCTCCGATGGGTACTTTTCGACCACTTCATCCCAGGAGCTCAAATCCATTAATTGGATGAATGACTTTTGCACCAAAGATATTTTGTAAAGTGCCTGTGACTCTTTGTAAAATTCGGATATTGTAGTATTTCTGTCTCTCACATCAGTCAACAAAGATTTGACTGTTTCACTATCCAATGATCGTAGTGTGCGAAACACATATGGTGGTATATCCGGTTTGGAGATACTACTCTCCTTCAGTTTCTGTTTTTTCAGTGCTCCCTCTTCATGCATTTGGAAGATTTCTTCTAGAATCTTGTATGTTGAGTCATCAAGTGAAGCCAAAAAACAAACCACCTCAAGCAGCTGGTTTCCTTTTTTCTGAAAATTAAAAAATATTGTCAGAATACTGCTAAGCATAGTATGTATCATGGAGCAAGTTGCAAAACTGAAGTTTGAATTCGGAAGTGAAGATTTCACCACAAATCAAACACACCAGGATTTGTATCAGCATTTCAACAAGATGAGTCAGATTCACAAAACTCCTAGAAACTGAAAATTGATCCTAGATATTTTATTAAAGATGTGATTTCACAGGTACCTTCTTTATTAACTTAAGTCAGGGAGGCCAAATTTTAGGTGAACACAATCCCTGCTTATCAAACCACAAGAAGTCTTATAACAAATTTGTACCTGAGTGAGGATAAGACCACATGAGGCCTTCCACTTTAATTTATCTTTATCTGGGATTTCATCTCGATATCTTCTGCAAACTTCAACCTGTAGATAAGAAAAATCATGGATGGCTTAGCCAAAGCATATACAACGCAGAGAGTGGCACGATATTGGCAGGGAATGAAACTTTGTACATTTTATATATAATTAATATGCATGAGCAGCTTATCAACTAATCAGCACATGTATAAAAGTATTCATATATTAGCTGTGTGCCAAAATTCATTTGAATTTAAATAAGTCTGGATCTTGAGATACGAGTGTCACAGTGTTACAGACACTGGTAGCACATTAGCTCATTGTTCTTTGCACAAGGAAGATGAAAATTGTGTGAGTGTATTATGGGAAATCCATTGCTTCTAGTAACGAGTAAAAGTCTTATAATGTTTCACCACAAAATAAAAATCGCAATAAAATCAGAATAAATGGTCCAGTGGTTTTGGAGAAGAAGCCGTCTCCAGAATTCAAATTTGAATATTTTACCGAATGAAAAAATTTGGTCCAGCGGTGTTGAAGAAGCTGAAAATGTAATAAATTGACTACAGGCTTATACAGACACTCAGTAATATGGAAGAGATCTATGTCATTGATTTCACCAACAGTAAATTGACTACAGGCTTATACAGACACTCAGTAATATGGAAGAGATCTATGTCGTTGATTTCACCAACAGTGGAGCTAAAACAGTGAAAAATTACCTTGTCCTTCAATGTGATGGCATGCCTATATTCACCAGTTGAGTTGTGCTTAACAGCCAACCACCGCTGCTGCTCACTATTCAACCCAGCATACACCACACAGTTACGGGTCTTAAACCTGTCATCACTTATGTACTTCATTGTCTTTGCAATTTCCTTTGTAGCCAAAAGACAATGCTGGCCTCCAATTACTTGATAATTGTAACCATTTACCTATAATTAATCATTTAATGGTTAGTGTCACACTGTATTTTCTGCCAGGCATTGTACCATTTTCATTTTCCACTATGAAAATAACAAGGCAATTCTTCTATGGTCAATCTATTATAGTTTAATAGGTAATTATTACATAATGTGGTTTACCTTTTTCTTGTCAAAGTCTCCAGGACTTTCAATATCCTCAACTAATACACAAAGAGGCTGATAAGCCTCATCAGCAAACTCCACCATATTTGTTACAAGATTTTTTAAAAACACAGCATCAGGTTGCCGAACCTGTTGTTTTACTTGCAATACTTCTGTATCGATTTGGAACATACCTTGAATACAAAATATAAATTACAATGAGTACAGATTTAAAAACTGCCTAATCGCAGATGCATGTATCATATGGTAATCAGATGTAAAATGGTGACCTTGACTGTTGACCTTTCAAAGAGTAATCAACTTCTGCAGAGTAGATTTGCAGGGCATAATAACCTAAAAAGTGTGCCACTGCTAAATGTCCTGTCCTTGACGTATTACCCAGGGATTCTAATTTACCTGGTCCCATTTTTGTTCAGGGGAAATGGCCGAAAAAGGTGATTTCACTACTTTTTGTTTATGGTCATCTTGACCTTTGACAACCCTCCTTAGTGATAAGAAATCATCCAAGAATTCCAGGATGTTTGGACACATGTATTTATGATACATTGTTTTTGAGATATGGTCAAAAATACAAGTTCGTTACTCTCACTTCTGGTAGGAACATCCCCAGACAGACACATGCTGGAGCAAGCACCATCCCAATGGCTCATTGGATCCTGGACCTGGTTAAATAAAGTCAGCCCCCCCCCCCCCAAAAAAAAAGAATTATTATAAAAAAAGCCAAAAATGCATCCTCTCCTTGTGAAGAACAAATATCCAGCCCCAAATTCCAAGATTATAAAACAAACTATGAAATATGGCAGTTAAAGAATCAAATATCAAAATGAACAGTATACTTGCCACAATAAGCTGCTGTCACATCATCTGCAATTTTTTCCTGAGTGGTGTCACTTGAGTTTGTTCTCTGCTTTTTCAATGAAGCGCTGCTAATTTCCACTGACTTTGTCAATTTTCTTTTCTTGCTCTTTTTTTTTTTTTGTCATTTCTAAAAGACTGAAAAAAAGAAATGATTGTTTTTTTATAACACAACACAAATGACAGTAAGAACATTTCTGGCTCATGAATTGTTCTGACTTTTGTGCATACATGTACTTTGCTTATTTTTTTACAACAACTTGGAATACTGGAAATCCATACATATACTTTGATTCAATTCATAACTATTTTAAATGTAAAATTAAGTAGTAAAGTAATATTGTGTAAATTAATATTGTGCCCCAATACCCCATAATTATTCAACTCTGCCTGGCACTAATGATAATTATACTGTCTGAGGGTCTTTCATTTACATTTATTAAATGCAAATTGGTAAAACATCGGAAAGTATTTAATAAAAGACATTATTAAAGTACTGTTTGTGGGGGGTGGTGGGGTGGGTCATCTTTTGTCATTTTTTATGGTACTGTAAATTACAGGATACGAGGGCTCTACATTTTAATCATGTGTTTTGGAGCCATGATAATGTTTAGTTTTTCCACTCAAACTTGTTTTCCTGATAACAACAAAATTTGTATCTTATAAACTCCTGTAATATAAAATAAGGCATTAGGACAAGATTATTACTAACCTTATATGCACAGACTCAGCCTGGCATGAAACACTGGAATCTCCATCATCACTGCTACTAGACAGTGACAACTGTTCATTTGATGATCCTGAAGTGTTACTACAGGAAGCTATAGCCATGGAACTGCATATGTCACTAAACATTTTTACAAATTCTTGATTGCTTGCATTTTCTTTTAGTTGCCGACTGAAATCAGAGCGGTTATATTCAAACTTTGTTCGCTCAAGCAAATAAGCATCAGGTCTACCATCTTTTTTATGAAATAGAAACTGTAAAAATAAAAAAATAGTTGAACTATTAGAACCTTGATCTTGTGAAAATATGCAAGTTTATTGAAACCCTTGCTAAAATTCCCCACCAGTGTTAAATGGTCTTTCCCTTTATAACAGATCAGTAATTATCTGGAATGTGCACCCACAAGGGATACTGGCCCATCCCTAATCCACATGCATTTAAATTCATATGGACTACCCCAATCTGATTAAAATCAGATCTTTTGTTGGGGTTATATGTTGGTATAATTTTTTCATACGCACCCCAACAAAGATCGTTATTCATGTTCAAGTCGCATTTACTAGACAACCAATCAGAACATGCATTATTAAAGACACCGAATGTGCGACTTGTTGCTGGAACAAGATTTGAACATCGGTCATTCATATTTTGCAAGTAAAATATATTCTTAACATATCCAAATCTTTTATGGTGGACAGTTCGTGAACTTAATTTACTAGGTTCTTTTTGGCCTGAAGTCGGTGTTTGTGGTTACACATAAAATAAAAAAATGGTTCATCCCTTATTTATACATCTTCTATAAAGGCTTAAAATAGAAGCCATGAGTTACAACATTAAAAGTGATCATGAAACAAATTCCTGGATATTATTTTACATGATCTGGGTTGGGTACTCATCATATTTCATCTTGTGCAAGTACATGTATGCATACAATAGAATTTTGACTATTCAAGTCTATGTACCAAGCCAAAGTTTAGGCTATGGAAGTTTTCTCTAAACTAGTTGAAGTTGGCACTTATTTTGAAATTTAGAACTGGAATACAGCTATAATATGAAACAATAGAAATAGAAGACTGTGCTGAATTTATAATAACAGTGTATAGCACAAGAAATAGAAAAAAAAAAACAGTATCTCTGTAGCAGTCGTAATTAACTAGATATTCAACTTCTGAGTTGGCCTATTGTTATGAAACTGATTTTGAAAGTAATTCTATTATGCAAATTAGGCAAAGGCAGCCATGATGTAATAGGGCCTGAAACTGTTTATGTACTTCATGAAACAATAGACCTTAGAAAGAGAGGGACAGGCAACTACTGGTACATAGTTTCTTTTGTTTTAACATGGGTTATAATCCTCCAAATAATTTCACAATATACCACATGTTTATTTGCACTGTCAGCAGTACTCTTTCTAAAGAGAGGGACAGGCAACTACATAGTTTCTTTTGTTTTAACCTGGGTTATAATCTTCCAAATAATCTCACAATAAACCATATGTTTATTTGCACTGTCAGCAGTACTCTTTTTGAGGTCTATGGTGAAAACGCTGCAATGATTTGTGAATTGTTCACAATATGGTAGAATGGAAGTTATTGTAGTAGCCTTCCACGATGACAGGGAGTGACACCTCACAGTCCAATATAAATTGAATTCAGTATAGAGGTTTCCAAAACTTTCCTAAAAAACAATTTCACACCTTGACACATAAATTACAAATTCCCATGTTCATTAAAAAAAACTAAACAAAACATAACAAAATTACATGTTTAATTTAATCATTTTTTTTTTCCATTTCTTTTACCACTTTTTCAGCTTCATTTCAAATTTCCGACAATTTCACTTTAATTTAGACCTCGGTGGAAATATTTAAACCGCGGTGAGAATAATTTTCTGCATAATGTTGAATTTTCCAACATTTTCACTTTAATTTACACCACAGTGTGAATATTTACACCACAGAGAAATTATTCTCACCGCAGTGATAATATTTCCACCGTGGTTTAAATTAAAGTGAAAATGTCGGAAATTTGACATTATGCAGAAAATTATTCTTACCGCGGTTTAAATATTTACAGCATGGAGACAATTATTTCCACCACGGTTTAAACATTTACACTGCGGAGAAAATTATTTCCACCGAGTCGTAAATTAAAGTGAAATTGTCAGAAATTCAAAATGAAGCAGGAAAATACAAGTGAAAATGTGAGAAATTCGAAAAACAATGAATGGCCCTAACAAGCCACTGTATACTTCTGACTTTATCCACAGTTTAGAGCCAAAAGAAACAATATACAATGTACTAACATCTTGAGTTTAATGACTGGGAAATGTTTCACTATTTGTTGAAATATGGCTGCCTTTGGTATCTTGGTCCTAATTTACATACTCAAAACGGTATAGTCAATCATATTCTTTCTAGCTCCATGATCATCAAATCCCCCAGTATTATCTAGAAAAGATCTTGTAAACGCCAAATTACTGAGCTCGAGGAGGATTGTGGTACCAGCAGTTATCCCGGGCAGTTATCTTTATTTAACTCCAAACTTTGGTCAGGTATTTTCAACGGGAATTTTGGTAAAAATTAGCACGACATGTTACAAAATAACAACATGGTCACCGGACCGGTATGTGTATTATAATACTATTGCTTTGCTCCACTCCCCAGTCTTCCCCGATCAAGCGATGAGCGTCTGGTCAATGGGCCTATTTTTCATTATGAGGACAAAAATTCGCTCTATCGATAAAATCTAAAAATAAATACACTACACAGCTCTATGTGGTTAGAATTACGTAATAACCTATATGCATTTACCTTTATAAATTTGTCTCCAACGGCCCTGCATTCTTTCACGTGTCCGAATGCTTCTTCTGTCTTCTTGTTCAGAAGTTTTGAAACTTTTTTGGAAGTTCCCTGCCCTTCGGCAACATAAACGTGAATGCGCCCGTCTTCCTCAGTCAACCACCAAACACGCTTCTTGGCCATACTGGTAGCTTGTTGTGACATCCCGGTAAATTGGATATGTAAACGATAGTACTCGTTGAATTAAACGACGATTGGACTTTACCGTAGCGAGGCCGAGCTGGAAATATATGTGCTGTTCTAAAACTGCAGCGTTTATATGTCGAATTGAGTCCAACATCTTAATCCTGACGCTACGAGTAATCTTAATCCTGATGCTACCAATAAACATCTTAATCCTGACGCTAAGAGTAATCTTAATCATGATGCTACCAACTTATCACCTTTGCTACATTGTTTTCTGACACTAACATGGTGAGAATATCCGGGAGAAAAACTCGCAAACATCGTCTGACCTTTAAAATGCAAATTATTTGCTGCCATCAACCACGCGTATATGGAACAAACTATTTCAAATACGGGGATGCACAAGAAGGATAATTTTAAATTTATATGTTATTGTTACTTTCTATGATTTACCTATATCTTGAATTAATAAACAGTAATGGCAGTGTAATATTTCATTTACATGATCGACCAGTCAGTCGATATATCACAGTGCACCCCAATCTGACTTGGAACATGGCCCTGTTGTGCACATCGTTTGATCTCGTTTGCTCATTGGTTGTCGGCGGGGAGCGCCATTTTATAAACTTGTCTGATGAGATAAAATACTCGTATACCAAATATCCTGAGGTTCTAAGTACTTTTACTTCTGCGTTCGCGGACATTCAAAAGTATTTGTGCCTCATATTTCAGTATGGGCTGTAAAGATGACTCCCACAACACGACTCAAGCAGATTCAACGTCCGAATCGGACGGACTATGGCTGTCTAGATCTCATGCGAGCACACAGTTCGATAGCGACTACAGTTTCAGTTCTGACGATTTGTCATTAAACCTCATTGGCGATAACAAGGCGTCTTCTGTTTATGCCGTAAGTAGTGATAGTTTTGTAGTCGAGGAAGAGGATACGAGCATTCACGGTGTACAGTTCGATAGTGGTGACGATGTCGATTTGATTCCAAAAAAAAAACATCGACCCCAGTGAGGCAATCCAAAAGACGACGTATAAGTCAGCCTATACAAAATCCACTCAAAGTTCTAAGTCAAGATTGCTGCGAAGACCGATGCCTAGATAGTCTTTCTAAAAATGATGTCGTTGAATCTGAACGCAACTTCAAAATGTTATCATCAGAACCCAAACAGTTGCAGTTTATTCTGAACACTATCCGTGAGCATTCATATATTAGGACAGTGAAAGGAAAGGTTGTGGTTGAAACTAATCTTGTTCTAAAAGGTAAACGCGTTTGTCCGAAAGCATGGCAGGTAGTTCATAACGTCTCTGAAGATCGCTGGAAAAGCTGTAAACAAAAGTTTATTGAAGGTATGTAACTTCTAATGCAAGTGAAATATGTTTGTGGAAAACATTATTCAAGCATTTGTTATTATATAAATACACAAAACTGTTAGCTGGATTTCTTTCATATTTGCTACATAGGTACCTGGGTGATTATCTCTCAAGTTTGTTCATTTAGTTTGTTTAGTGTTATCTTCAATTTTTTTATCTTTTAATGAATTTTTTCATTATTATTTTTAAATCTTCCATACATTATACATAGGATGCCTAATGCATGGAATCTGTGGGACAGTATGTGAGACCATTGTTAGCAATTGGCTCCCCCCACAAAAAAATTCACCTCAAAAATGTTCCGAGATTGAGCTCCCTTCCAAACCCACGACATTCCCCTCAAACAATGAAAACCTTCTGGTTTAAATAAAAGCTGCTTGTTCTTTTGACTGAAAGGCATAAACCAGTCTTAATTTGTTATTGGTGATATACATGTACATGTATGTTGCCTCATGGAGTTGCTCTTTTCAATATTCAGTTTATATGTTTAAAAAAAATGCATTATGGGATTATCATGGGGCCGCTGAGTGACAGGCCATTGGCCTATTTTTTTTACATATTATATACATGTATTTTATTCATTCTCCTTTATTTCCATCTCTGTTGCCAGGGTAACAAGTTTGTGAAAAATAAATTCATACTTCTGATCAGAATCCACTAACTTAAATTCAAAACCCAAATAAGTAGTACAAAAATGTATATCTTGACTTCAGACTAGAAACTTTTTTTATTATTAATTTTTGTAATATGGCTGCCTTTAGTGTTTTGGCCCTAATAGTTGTACTTAAAATGACTGCCTCCAATATGCCAAGTGCAATATCTAGAAATACTGTAAACGGTCTTCTTTTCTACAGTTTCTACTCCTTTATCTTCAACTAATACCCTTTAAGATACATGAAGTTTGTTCTAAGATGGGATCCGGCTGAGTATTTTAACAGATTTATTAATTTTTCAGAAAATGTTCTATAATAACATATCGATAAACATATTGCTTAAAAAAAAAGTTATCCACTAATAATTGACTTTGATCATTGCTCATTCTTTCATTGTAGGTGTTATAACAGTAACTCACAAAAATCGTGGGAGAACTGGATTCAGGGACAAAACAACTGCAGCAATTGGCTGGATGCAGTTTTTATTTGAGCGTATTGGGGACTATATGCCACACAGTTCTGAAATTCATTTACCCTGCTGCTATTCAAAGACTTCTTTGCATGCAAGAATGAGAAGTGAATTTCTTGATAGAGGCATTTCAGACAATGGTATTATATGTTATGATCATTTTTCAAGAGTATGGAAAATGCACTTGTCAGAGTTTAAGATTTGTAAGGTATGTTCCTGCTTATGGTTTACTAATGTCTGTTGACATACATGTATATATTTTACTTTTTATTTTATATTTTCATTACATAAGGGTTTAAGCTTGATTGGAATATTTGTTAGTAATTTGACAAATCTGATCCAAAACATTCTTTCTGAAACGTAGATTTCTTGACCGTCTTAGTTAGCATTTTAGCTAATACTATTAAAAATATTACCTATAAATCCTGATTTTATTCTGATTTGGCTCATGGGAGTTTATCCCTGATTCATGCATCTTTCCCAGACACTGTATTACCAGCATCTCACTAAGTTGTTTATCGATCTAAATGACACAATGCACAACTAATGTTAACAGAGATTCCACCTGTTGCTGTCTTAGCAAGGCCTTTCAAGCATCTGGTAGTAAGTCTTTTCGGAATGAAAAAAATAGCAAATCAGCTGATTTGCCTTAACATAATTTCAGTGAAATTATCAGTAATGCAAATGGAGAAAGATGTATAGTTGCCATTGCAGGGATCTCGCCAGCCCAACGCGAGTGCTGGTCGGTCATGAATATTAATGAGCTATATGAATATTAATTAACCATGAATATTAATGAGTTCGGTCGCAGTGCAAAATATATGTTTTAGCTAATTTTACTGATTCTTGCTCAGTAGTAAGACAGCAAAGCTGTTTTGGCCATTGGCTTACTTGTTCATAATTTGTGATTATTTCTTTCAGAAAAGTGGATTTGCAAAATGTGCTACATGTACACAGCTGAAAGAACTGTATGAAAAGGCTACCACTAACCATGAAAGAGAAAGGATTAATCATCTTCTTAAACTACACATGGAGCAAGTAGAGTAAGTTTTCTTGTTTCCCAGAGTTCTGTTCAATACTGCAGGTTCCCCCAGATAATTAAAGGTATTCCAAAATAGTTGACTGATTGCCATTTAGTTGACTTTCATATATTGCTCACAAGGATCTGGTATAGAGATCATGTTGGGCAAGCTGTGATACACTACTCTAAAACACATACTTTGATTTTTGGTACTATGTCTTGTAGGCTTTTGATAAATATCTCCTTTGCAGAAGCCCCACTATATGAAACTACATATTAAAAGTGTGTCAGACAATTTTACGTGGCAGGCACATGCTGTCAGAATATCGCTACAAGGATGAGATAGTGTGGAGATTTGTGAAATATCTTGTTGCATGAAAAGCACATACATTACCGATATACTTTATTCATTAGTTAGCTGTACTCTGTTGTAGGTTATTATATCAACAAATAAATCCTAACAAGTATTATTGCATGGTGTGTAGGTCATTTCCTGTTTTTCACTAATTGCTGCTACCGCTACCAGTATCATAACACACATTGCACCTTATGAGCAGATATTTCATCAAGATTTTATACACTCCTTTTTTTTTTAAAGGAGAGAACGAAAGAGATACCATTATCACAGAGAAAAAGCTGAAAAGGAACCTGAAGAATTGTTAACAATTATCATTGACGGCATGGATCAAAATAAAACCAACTTGCCCAATTTTATGACAGAAGACAAAAGCAGCTCAAATCTGTTGAAGCTACAAACACACATTACTGGTGAGATTGTTTTATTAAAATACATATGTGATTTTTTTAAGTAAGAGCCTACTTGCATAGTGAATGATTGTCCATGACATCAGATATATTGTACTTCTTGCTATCAGATACTTTATGTCTCTTGTCCTGATCTTACCATGCATTCATGTTTGACCCAGCTACACCAGCAAAATGAACATTTATTGCTTCAAATGAATTTAGTACGATCATCTTACAGTTGTATGATCTTGACAGTGTTCTCAAAGAGGGGTTTTATCAAGGTTACACGTCCTGGTATATTGGTGGTGCCGCCTCTTATTTTAGTTCTTCTACATGCATTGCTATACAATTTCTTGGACATTAGTTAATTTGCATAACAATGACTAAAAGCTGTGCATCAACAGTTACAAATTATTATTTTTTTCACATTTTAGGTTCCATTGTCCACACTGGTGTCGCGAGTGGTAGAATACCATTTGCACATATTGATTTAAATCAAATTCCTCACGACAGCAATTTAACCATGAACATTTTGCTTGAAGTACTGAAAGAAGTAAAAAATCATTTGGCCAAGGTTTTGTACCTTCAACTAGACAACTGTTTTAGAGAGAATAAAAATCGTTTTTTATTATCTTTAATGGAGTTAATGGTGGAAATTGATATCTTTGAAGAGGTAAGGTTATGCTATGGCATCACTTTTCAGTTTGTTGCTCAGTGACTCATCAAAATCATATTGTTCGAAAAAAAACAGAATAATGCAACCTGAAGTAAAATGTGAACAAGATTTAACGAAAAGTATTCCAACAGCTCAGCAGTGCGGAGCTCAAGTCTTTATTGTCTGAAAACTTGTATTACCGTATGTGGTGGTATGTCGTGTGTAAATTTGTGCGCGTGTACTAAAATTTGTATATAGCTAAATTAGATTTATGAGTGGTACCCATTTAGCATATAAGCATGTTTTTTTTTTTTCATTTTCTTTATTTAGATATATGTAAGTTTCCTGCCAGTTGGCCACACCCACGAGAATGTAGACCAAATGTTTTCGAAGATTTCAGCGAGACTACAACACAACAACACTTATACACTGAATGGTATGTGTTTTTTTTTGGGGGGGCGGGGGTAAATGTAATTTTATACACAAATAGCCACTGCATCTCCTTGGATTAAGCTACATGTAAGTGAACATTTATCAATAGTGATTAATTGCAGCTCCTCTACACAAACACTGTATAATGATTTGTTAAAATTGTGTGGCTTGTTTTTCAGTCTTGACATTGTGGCATAAGGGAATTTTCTCTATTACAGTATTGGTATTTTTTTTTTTCAAGTTTGAGAACATGAAAAGTGACTTGTTTTATTAATAATTATAGATCTTGAGGACATTGTGACTGCATCGTACACACCACCAATCAAGCCGCGCAGTTTATCAAAGCAACCTTTATTTAACATAAAGGAGTGGTTGTTGCCCCACATGTCAGGACGAATGCAAGGGCATTCCAAGCCACACAACTTCCGTTTCCATAAAGTGCAGGGAAAAGCATACATGCAGTATAGATTATGGTGCACTGACCCATGGGAACCAACTACAATAGATGTTAATGGTGAACAAGTGCCAGGGCTGAAATGTCTGAAGGTATGTTTACACATCACCACTAATTACATTCCTACCGTATTTATTCGGGTATAAGCCCAGGGTCCTGAACATGGAAAATCGCCAAAAAGAAAGGGTGGACGTTTTTCCAGATATCCTCAGCAAAAAAACAATATGAAGCATTAGAAGTGTAAGAAGAAATAATTTATTGCTTAGAATGTGAATATTAAAACCAGAAATAATAAAAATGAACAGTGAAGATTCATTTGAATTAGATTATCCCCGCTGACAAACACGCTGCCCCATACGTGTGAATTATTTCCGGTTTTGACAAACACCGGATCAACAGCCATACAAGATCAATAATAATTTACGCAGTAAAATTACGAAAGTTCATAGTTGTTAGAAAAAAAAAATCTAAGATCTCTGTTTGTACGTTCATTGCTATCTTTGTAAAAGTCAAAACCCTGAAATTCCAACTCGGCACCACTGTCGCGATCGAACAAAATCCCTATAGCTTCGTCTTGAAGTATGTCGATGTCGTCCCACACAATTTGGACTTAGCACATTTAAACCACTGATTACGCTGTCTGGTAGCTTGGCACTTTTAATTCACGTCTAATCAGAATAAAGAGACAAGAAAATGGGGTCGTGGCAAACAACTCGCACGATGCTTTTGTTTACCTTCTGGCAATCATCTTTGACTTTTAAGCATTCGCTTTACCGGCATCACTACTAGTGTTTCATCATAGAGGTAAATTTAACATCGCTTTTTTATCAGACTTGGCGTTCGTTCATCAATCATGGTGAAAGTTACCATTCAGCAAGTTATATGGATATCGCGGTGGGCTTTCCAACGACAGAAGTATAATTTCCATGAAATGCAATAGCTGTGGTGAAAGATGGTAAAACAGTTGGCAGTCTTCGGCATGACATTGCAAAATTGCTGGCCCCAGTTATAGATTCGCGAATATATTTTTAAGCCAAAACAACGTGCTTTAAACCACTCTCCCAGGTATGGGTTGCTACAATATTGCAACATTGGTTTCATTGTCGGCGACGCTAAAGCCGAACAAGTGCGACACTTGCTTCGCGGCTCTATATACTGTAAGATTTGCTTGAGTCGTTTCTATAAGGAAACACAAACCTGACTTGCTGGCTGTTTCCTCGTTTTACTCAATTGACATTTATTTTTCAAATTTCGTTAATATCAGAATCACAACAGACTGCAAAGAAGTAAACTGTTAATACAACGAACAAAAATAGGTTTTTGTATTTTACTACAAGTGTAGAAAAAACACCCCTGAGCATTTGCTAGGATATGACCTCAACTCCTTTATTTTATCAAAAGTGGGAGGTGGGCGTTTGTCCGATCATGGGCTCTTAGTCTGATAAATACGGTAACTGGTATATTCATAGTAGGTACTGCTAGTTTTCCCATGTATGTTATTAGCACATTTATGCTACATAACCCTTAGGGATTTGTAATAATTTATTAATATTCTGTTGAGAAACATGTTTTTATTTTTTTTAAACGTATATCATGTCTATGGTTTTTTAATTACAATAACCACCCTAGCTGTTGATTTATCATAAATGTTTATTGTCATTTTTCTTTAATGTTATTTTTTAAAGAGTATTCCAGCAAGGGATGATATCCCATCATTTGTAATACCAAGTCTAGAAAAGATGGATGCTAATATGTTGAGCTTGGATATCCCAAGACGATATGGAATGCGCTTGCCACCAGCTGCTGTCCAGTGGTGGAATAATTTCTTTGGAAATGTCAAAGATCTTGAAATGGTAATGTTATATTTTTAGGTAGCCATGAATTGTTAAGATCTTGTTATTGATTTCAAGTCTATCATGGATAAATAACTAAGCATTTACAACTTATAATAGTCGGTGATGTATTAAATTAAAATTGCACATTGCATCCCGGAGAAGTAAGCGTGAAGAATATATCTACAAAGTTTGCTCACATTCAGGCTAATAGTTTTCAAGATATTTAAAGAAAGCTAGAAGTGTGAAAATGAGCTCATTAATTAGGGTGAAACCTACAATTGCAGTGTATCACAGATAAGTAAACATCAGAAATATTTTTACCAAGTTTGGTCACATTCAGACTAATATTTCAAAAAATATTATCGAAGAATTAAAAATCAATTAAATATGCAAATTAGTTTGTTATTTACATTGAAATGCAACATTTAATTGTCCGTCTCTCAGAAGTACATATCAAGTATATTACCACAAAGTCTAGTCACATTTGAACTATTTAGTCTGAAGAAATTTAAAAAAAATATGCAAATGAGTTAACTACTATCATGCAACTGCAGACCAATTAAATAAGCAAATAAACTTTGAAATTACATCATATTGCAAAAATATAATGTCCATACCTGAGAATTATGTTACTAACAAATTTGGTCACATTTGGACTATTAGTTCTAAAAAACAACTAAGTTGTTCACTCACCATAGCAAGAACTTCGCTGAGTAGTGGGAGCCACCATGGAACAGGGTGAGAACTCATGGAACAGAGTGAGAACGACAGTATAAAGGCAGTCGTTGAATAAGATATAGAATTGTGGAAAATTTAGAAATTCATTAAATTGAACCACTTAAAGTGCCTGTGAAATGGCTGCTATTTTCACGCCTAAAAATATCCATTGATACATAAATATTATTAATTTTTATGTTTCTAAGCATGAATTATTTTTTTAAGTGAAAAAATGTGTGAACTCAATCTACGGCAACTTTATTTTTGTGTATTTTAAAACGAGGCTCCTCATTAGCTTCGTATTTGCATACAGAAATTCCCCTTGTGACCTCAGAAGGGGAAGTCGCATGGCAGCTTGCATTGCCGATACGTGTAAATAAGGCAAATTTCTTGTGCAGTTTTCTTGTCTTTGACTAAATTTTCACTTATGTACTTGTTCGTCGAGGAGGAATGAACCATAATGAACACATAGTATCATCTTTTGTTGCACGGTGGTAAGTTAGATGCGAAATATGTCCGTTCTGGTGTAGCTGGTCACCGTGATCGTCATCAGCGCACGTTTGTACACTGTCGCTGGACAAAATAGAATTTGACGTCGGAATTATCTCGTTATTTAGCAGGTTACTAAGTACGTCACTACACTGTTGTATTTCATCGATCGTCTTAGTAAAACTTTCAAAATTAAAATAAAAGAGAACATATTTTGACATTCTGAACATTAGACTATAGTGATCACTATAAAATAATTAAAAAAAACGACAAATCACAGTTACTAAATAAATGACAGCCGCGTGGAAATAAATTGAAATTTTGTTGAAATAGGTGAACGGGTCGGGTCACGACAACGGCAAGTGCGTTAAAAGTGGCGTTTAATTGGATAACAAAAATAATCGAGATCGACACACGTACAGATAAATTCAGAGTGGATTCGAGTTAGTGTGATCCATGGCATGATTGTCATAATTATATCATATTAAAACTTTATTTGGTGGAAACACATTGACCAAGCCCGGATTCTTATTTCATAAATTATTACGCAGATCAAGCTGCAAGCATGGAGGTAAAAAAAAACAGAGGTGTGAATTCGACATTCAACACCAATCACCAAACAATTCAGAAACTTTTAGTCTTTGAAAATGAAAACAATTATCAGTGTGTAAGGGCTGTGTAATTTCTGTTTGTCCGACGCTTCGTTTTCGTGTCACTGTCAAAATTATTGCTACCTTTTACTTAACAGGAACTAAATGGTCTCTATAAAACGTTAATGAGGATTGTCGGACGTCTCTCTCTCTTCTGAAATCTGCCTCAGTGATCATGGTCCGGAATCTATTACTTTCAAAACTGTTGCGCTAGGTTTATGTTGTCGTCGTTTCTCTTTAAACCTAGTTGTTTTTTTCATGTACGAGGACAGTTTCTCCCTGTCACACGCAACATAATATTACCGTAATTGGTATAGTACAGGTGTGATGGTTCAAATACCAAAATGGCAACAGTAACAGAAAGACTTCCCTGGCGGCGATGATAAAACACGAACACGGAGCCAACAGATGAGGTTTCAACTGGTACTGGTATTATTATACTCTGCAAACATCAAGTACAATAACGCGATAAAACTCCACTACTCCAATAACTAGATACTTAAACTCCAATACAATTCAACGAGATCTCCGATCTGATCTCAGTGCTGAACAACTTCCCTATATATACCCACACTGTCTATAAATAGACCATTACATCAGCATACATAATGAGTCTGGAACTTACTACAAATTTCTAGAATGTTCCATTACCTTCTATTGCCTTCTACTGTGTCCTATTACCTATTCAACCAAATTCTAAAAATTCCACCCAGACACAGTACGGTTCTAGAACATTCTCAGTCACACGGAAGTGGTAAACAAGTCGTGTGCGACACTCCCCCAAAAAAAGAATCTGAGGTTAAATGGCTTTCGTCCATTGATGTCGCACCTTCGGATCGATTAGAAACGTGTGAATACTTACACTATGACTATACGTTTCGCTGCAACTGCCCACAACACAACATCTAAAAACTCTCTCTCAACAAAATAAAATAGACAAAAAAAAAAACGCCAACCGAAAAATGTATATCGTTTAAAAGTATACTGAATGACCAGTGTTATTACGGCTCAGGGGTATGACTTCCTCTCACATTTTGGCATTTGGTGGCGCGCTTTCGACGAGAGCCGGAAATCCGGAAACAGTCGACCGTTGCAGAATAGGTGGGCGTGGCTACAACACGAGAAATATCCCAAATTTACTTGGATACAAGTAATCATTTTCGGCAAAAAAATCAATAACAGCCCATTTCAGTGGGACACAGATCTAAAATGGGAAACGTGGAGATGGGCATTGCACAGGCACTTTAACCTTAACGAATTCTCACCGAAATCAGAAAAGCATGACACATTCTGCTAACCTCGCACCAAATTTCATTTGAATCTGTCCCAAAATGTAGGAAATAAATTAGTATTTTTTTTAGTATTTTTAGTAAATATTTTCTGTAAAAACTTTAATTTTGACATTCCATGAATGGGCAGTTTCGGTTTGATGCTTGTGAACAGAACTTGATTGCAAACTGCTATTTGAACTCTTGACCAACAATTACATCTTTCCCATTCTTGTTCACTGGTAAGACAGCAGGGCTATTTTGACTGTCAGTTCACTTGTTTATCACCAAGACTAATATTTGTTTGAAATTACAAGTTTCAGAACAATACAGAAATTCGTATTCTTGTAATTTTATTAAAAATTACATGATTGAAAATGATGTAATTATTATTTTTGTTTCATGCTTTTAGGTTCCCAGTGAAATCCCAGAATCATGGATCTTATATGAACTCAAAGACTCTGCACAAGAAAAAAGAGAAATGAGAAGTCAAGCTCAGGAGGACCCTGATGTTGCACAGAATGTCATGGACATTGAAGCAAGAATAACAAATCCTTGTCCTAGGGTGAGTAAAATATTATTTTATTTTAAACATACAGATTTAAGTAGAGAGAGCATTATGACATATTTGAAATGTTTGTTGAAAACATAGGTCAAAGCAAAGTATTTCTAAAAGCTGGTGATACAAATCAATCATGGAGAGCCATCTTATTTTCATTAAAAAAACACAAGGAATCAAAACAAAATGAAATCAGCCATGCTTTGCTCATGGCGCTTTTGGTATTATGGAAAGCTTTAATATTCATTTCTTTTTCTCTGTTTATTTTGAAGGTCACTGTTACTGGAGGTATGCCAGTGATGGCAGATCATGTCGAGAATTTTGATTCAATTGCAGTTGGTGACATGGTTGCTGTTTATTGTCCAGAGTATGAGGAAATACCTCAAATTGGCAAAGTGAACAGCAGAGATGATGATAAGTTCACCATTCACTGGTATAAAGGTTCCTGGAGAACAGCCTGGAAGCCATTTTTCCTATTCAAGGGCAGGCAGAAGGTTCCTTATGTCGATGAGGAACCTATTGAAGCAGCGATTTACTGGGGGTTTTCCCTCAATGGAAGAAGTATGCTGAGCAGAGAAACCCAAAGTATTTTACAAGACAAATACAAGGCTGTCATTGCTGCACTGACAGATTGATATAAAACATTGTCTCTGCAAAACATCCTTAAACATAAACCAACTTGTCACAGCTTAAGTTCTTCACAGAGTTAAACAAAGACACTCCTAGAACACTTTTTCCCTATGCACAATTACATTACTTTTAGTACTCTCGATCATCTTGTGAAAGAAATGCAAATTTACACCTTAACTTGGCAAATACAAATATTTACTTGTAAGAAATTCCAATAACGACATTGCAAGATCAAGAGATTATCAAAAATAAACACTGTTATTACTGTTATTATTGTCGTAGTTATCCGAATAACAGCCCAAGGGTCTGAACATGAAAATTACAAAAAAATAGGGATGACTTATGCCTGCTAAACTGTTTCGGTGTTGCCGCTAAAAAATTTCAAAACCAGCGATTTTAATGAGGAATTATTGCAACATCTTGATGTTATCTTTTTTAATAAGGTTACCCCCCCCCCCTAGATCTTGCACACTGTTTTAAAATCACTGATATTATTTATTCCAAAATATCATCTGTTATGCCAGCGTTTGCAAGGATATCACCTCAACATCTTTATTGTATCGAATTTGGGGGTGGGCGTTTACCCCAACATGGCCTGTACCCAAATAACCACAGTTATTGTGCATTGGGAAGAAGATGTCCTGGTGGTGTTTTGTTTGGCGTGGTAGAGAACTCCAGCTGTGATATGTTTCCATTATATGAAATGTACTTTTGAGATGTGCTTTTTCTCAAAGTTTGTTGCTAATTATTATCATGTAGTATATTTGAACTGGTTCTTATCTCCTTGAAACTGACGCATTGACAACAAAAAGTGAACAATTTGTTCATTGCTACAGTGAAGAAACTAATTTTTAGCTCCGCTGTCGACTTTGTCGAGCGGAGCTTATCATATGAGTGATTGTCAGTTGTCGTCCATGTCAATGTTTTACTTTTTCGACTTCTTCTTGAAAACTACAAGCCTAAATGCTTTGAAACTTGGTGTATATGTACCTTGGGTAGACCTCTTTTAGATTTGTTCATTTCATGATGATATCTTGAATTCTCTAATTTTGGTGAATATTTTTTTCATTTTTGGTAAAAACTGATTTTTTCGACTTCTTGTTGAAAACCACAAGTGGAGTTGCTTTTATATTACATATATAGATACTACATGTGGACCTCCTTTAGATTTTTAATTTCGTGGTGATATCTTCAAATATCTAATTTTAATGATAATTTTTGTCATTTTTAGTGAAAAGTGATATTTTTGAATTCTTTTTAAAAACAGCAAGTCTACTGTATTGTTCATTTTCTAATGATATCTTTTGTTCTTTAATTGAAATGTGCATTGCTAACAGCAGAGCTATCCGACTGGCTGCTTGTTAAATGTTAAATTTTTTCATATCAGTTGCATTTCTTTCATTACAATTACCCTGATTCTAATGTTTAAAAAAATAAAAATAAGTTTTCTTCAGTACTTAAAAAAATGGTGAATATTAGCATCTTTTTCTAAAAAACTGGTCAGCTTTGCTTGGCAATTGTTGAAGACCGGTGTGCTTTGATTGGCAATTGTTGATGGCTGGTGTGCTTTTCTCGACAATTGTCAGACTGGTGTGCTTTGCTTTTCTCAACAATTGTCGAAGACTGGTGTGCTTTTCTCGACAATTGTCGAATACTGCTGTGCTTTGCTTTTCTCGACAATTGTCAAAGACTGGTGTGCTTTGCTTTTCTCGACAATTGTCGAAGACTAGTGTGCTTGGTTTTCTCGACAATTGTCGAATACTGGTGTGCTTTTCTCGACAATTGTCGAAGACTGGTGTACTTTGCTTTTCTTGACAATTTTTGAAGACTGATGTGCTTTACTCGACAATTGTCGAATACTGCTGTGCTTTGCTTTTCTCGACAATTGTCAAAGACTGGTGTGCTTTGCTTTTCTCGACAATTGTCGAAGACTAGTGTGCTTGGTTTTCTCGACAATTGTCGAATACTGGTGTGCTTTTCTCGACAATTGTCGAAGACTGGTGTACTTTGCTTTTCTTGACAATTTTTGAAGACTGATGTGCTTTACTCGACAATTGTCGAATACTGGTATGCTTTGCTTTTCTCGACAATTGTCAAAGACTGGAGTACATAGCTTTCAACTTAATATTTCTCAATTAAAAAGTATGCACTTTCTAAATATGGAATAATATTTTGAAAAAATTAAGGTGATACCAATGTGTACAACCAAGGGCAATTTTTTTATATAAAAAATTCACTTGTTGAGATAAGGTTTTATAAACATGATTTTGTTTTGAAAATAAACTTAATAACTATGATTATCGGAAATGGTAAAATGTTTATCGAAGTGTTTC